CCTTAAAAGTCTCAAGCTGTATTGTTAGCAGCATTGATTTCATGCAGTTTGTCTTTATTGGTGTATTGTGGGGTGGGGAGAGGGGCAAAGTAAAGTTTCTCATCCATCTGTTGACCGTTTGGGGTCAAGAGTCAATGAAGGGTCTAGATGTTGGGAGCCCAGTCTTCTCTCCCAGTGGACAGGCAGCCTTTTTGGCTACTTGTGTGTTCCTGATTAAGTGTCTTGAGATACAGATTTGCATTATTTTGAAGTCAGTATTAATGGTTAACCTGGAGTTACAAACGCTGTTCTTGTGCGTTTGAGAATAGGCCATTTTATATTGATCTGTTTTTGCAGTACCCAGACTTGCGGCTCTAGCAAAATGCTGCAGTTCTATACTTAGAAGACACCTGAGAGTCATGTCCTCAGATGAATATTCTTGTACATCCAGCCCAATGGAAAATAATTTGGAGTTTGCACTGTGATCTGGCAGGTAAAACTATCTTTCAAGGATACTGATAGATAAGAATTTATACGGCATCTCTGAGCAGAATGTCAGATGAATTAAGTCAAAATCTGTGTTGGATGCATGGTGCTATTCTGTAGTTATAAAATCTATGTTGGATGCATGGTGCTATTCTGTAGTTAACCATGCAGAGCTATAAACTTTCTTTGCAAGACCAACAACACGTGATCCTCAGTTGCCTGTTGACAATTCTACTGATACGTTCTTTGCTCTTCTAGTCTTTCTGTTCAGAAACAGCATGTTCAAGCTGGGGAGGGAAGACAAGCAGCTCAGATCCCATTGTTAGATTGCTTCAAGGGTGCTCACAGCTGTGTCACCCATTGAATCAGTCGTCTTTCATTCGGTGCTGTATTTGTTACAGCCTAGTGTTACACGTGTATTCTTGAAGATGGATAACTGTAGGGAAGAAGAAAAAAAAAGTGGCTCTCCTTACTACTCAGGCTCCTCTAACCAAAGTTTTCTTTCTAATCTGTCTTCTTCCTGATTTATTTTGTGTTCTTTGGTGTAATCTTACAAAAGCACGTTCACCTCTACACCAGGACCTTTAACGCCATCAAACTGAGCTACAAGAGTGTCTACTTACTCACATAGACTACGTCAGTGCTTCAGTTGGCACACCGGTGGTGGTGACACCACGATAGGATGTCAGTCTTTGCAGTGGCCGAACACCCCACCACCAGTTTGTGAGAGGCCTTGTCCCAGACAAGGCTGCAGGGAATGCTTGGTGCTCCTCCTGGAGGCTAGGATTGAATATGATGGTGGCTTCAGGATTCTCCACCTGGGATGGGATAATCCCGGTTATATGTACAAATTGGGGGATGAGAGGCTGGAGAGCAGCCCCACGGAAAGAAATCTGGGGGTTTGGGTTGATGGCAAGTTGAATATGAGTCAACAGTGTGCCCTGGCAGCCAAAAGGGCCAACCATGTCCTGGGGTGCATCAAACACAGCATAGCTAGCTGGCTGAGGAAGGTGATTGTCCCACTCTGCACTGTGCTGGTGTGGCCCCGCCTCGAGTACTGTGTGCCGTTTTGGGCGCCCCAATATAAGAAGGACATCAAACTATTAGATTGTGTCCAGAGCAGGGCAACCAAGATGGTGAAAGGCCTTGAGGGTGAGATTTACGAGGAGAGGCTGAGGTCACTTGGTTTGTTCAGCTTGGAGAAGAGAAGGCTGCGGGGTGACCTCATTGCTGAGGGGTGACCTCATCGCAGTCTACAATTCCCTCAGGGGGGCAGCGGAGGGGGAGGTGCTGACCTCCTCTCTTTGATGACCAGCGATAGGACACAAGGAAATGGAATGAAGCTGCGTCAGGGGAAGTTCAGATTGGACATTAGGAAAAGGTTCTTCACAGAAGGGGTGGTTGGTCACGGGAACAGGCTCCCCTGGGAAGTGGTCACGGCTCCAAGCCTGTCGGAGTTCAAGGAGCATCTGGACGACACTCTTAGTCATATGGTTTAGTTTTAGGTAGTCCTATGTGGAGCAGGGAGTTGGACTCGATGGTCCTCATGGGTCCCTTCCAACCTGAGATATTCTATGATTCACCAGTGGAGCATGGCCTCTGCTTGAGCTTCTGGGTGAACCACCTGTGGGAGGAGGTGAGCAGACTGTACAGCACTAGGGCGGGCAAATGGGAGATTAACCGGTTACTTGCAGAGATGCTGCAGCGCAACAGCCCAAGCCTCACACTACTCAGGAGATGATAAAAAAAAGTTGCATTCCCTTGTCAGGGGCAGTGTTGAATGTGGAAGCTTTCTCACTTTCAGCAGCAAAAAGCCTTCCTCTGCATGCAGATGTTTGGATGGAGAACAAATACTGGGTTCTGGCAACACAAGAGGAGCAGTCAGTTCTGACAGACTGGCAAATTTTGGGCTGGTTGTGCCTGGTCTATGGGTATGACCCAGTGCCACCAAGAGGAAGCAGCTGGTGACAATGGCTGGAGACTTCCTTCAGTAAAGGATTGAGGAACCCATCCACTGAGCAGACTTGCTGTCTTGAGAAGTTTGTTGCTTGCTGGGAGACTGGATCCAGGATGTTATGGAGAAGTTGGTAGAGTTCTTCTGGTCTGTGGACTACTACCCCTTGCCACTTATGCATGTGGGCACCTATAGGATCATAGGATAATCTGGTTGGAAGAGACCTCAGGAGCTCTCTGTTCCACCTTTTCCCTCAAAGCAGGGTCAGCTTGAGGTTAGACCACATTGCTTGGGGCTTTATCCAGTCAGGTCTTGAGTAAAACCTCCAAGGATGGAAATAACACAGCCCGTCCCATTTCTCGACTGTCCTCATTATGAAAATGTTATTCCTTATACTCACTTGCCACCTCTCTTCTTTCAGCTTTTACCTGGTGTCATACTTCTGCTAGGCACCACGGTGAAGAGTCTGGGTCCATTTTTTTAACTGTCTCATAGGTACTGGCAGGCTGTTACGATGTCTTACCCTCAGCCTCTTTTTCTTTCAGCTTTCTTTAGCTGAAGGATATAATTAGAAAACCTTTTCTTCCTTTCTGCTCTTAATGATGAGATTCTCTCGTCAAACACGGTATTAGCTTGCATCGTGGTTGTGCCTAGTGAAAAATTAATGAAATGTGGTGTTGCCGCTCTAGGTATGAGCGAGATGGGACTTGTCAAGAGCACGTCCATGTAGTGAAAGTCAAGAGGAAAACACAGTGCCCAAGAAAAAAAATGCACACTTATATTTTTGTGTGTGAGAAATGGCAAATGCCCTGAAGTTCCTTGTTAATGGAATCATAGCACCACTTTATTTTTCTCCTAATTTGTTTTGCTAGCTGCAGTGAAAAAGTTGACACCACAGATGGAAATTGAGATGGTCTTAACTCTTCTTGCCCTCCATGGGCTTTCAGCACACTGTGCAGAACAAGCTTTCAGATTTTGTTCCAAGTTAATGGTATAAAAGTATGCAGACTCTTTGGCAGTGCTGAGCGAACATGAATTAGGAGCTGATATAAATGTAAAAACTGCAGTGGTCTGACTTAAATCACTCTTCAACCACCTTAATTTTGTGTCCTTTTAATTTTGTGTCCTTTTGCTGTGGGCATCCTTAGTTACAATACAGCTAGAAATGAAGTGGAATGAGTCACCGAGGCTGATACCAGAGTGAGTGTAAACAAATCCCACTTAAATCTGTTTTAAACTCACTTTTTTATACATGTGCTACTCTGCTATTCAAGAAGGGACTAAAGCCGAAGTGCTGTGCTGGTGTTCAGTGCTGTGCTTCAGAGTATGTTTCATTGCCGCCAGCCAGCCTTGGCAAAAGTCACATACTAGGTCTGGAAATAGCTTAAGCTGCTGTGAAAGTCAGGCTTTAACATAACTTAACATAACTGAACAAGAGACTTTAACGTGATGGGGACATCAGCTAGGGCTTCCAAAGCTAAAAATGGTGCTAAGCGTAGGTCTTTGTTTTTCTAAGCAGAGAGATGCTGCAGTTCATCAAGGTCTTTCCAAAGTCCTTTCCAAAGAGAGCTAAATCTGCAGCCATCAGGGTAACTTAAATGTTCCTGGAGGGAACAAGGTGCAGGGGTTTAGGAGAAGCCATGCATTCTGCACGGCTGTTGAGCAGAGAAATTAAAACTGGTAATTTTCTTCTGCAAAGTCACTTGTAGGTTTTTATACTTAACATACCGATGGTTTATTTTCTGGTTAAAGACATAAGTCAGAACTCAAGGGTTGCTGTGCTGGGCATGGGTCAAAAGCGGATGATTAAGAAGGAAATGAGGCATTTCCTGCCCATCCCCCCAGCACGAATATTGCTTAAAATATCCAAATGACGTCTGGTAACTGGCATCTTCCTTCAGAAGTCTTCAGCATCTCTGTCCGCTATTGTGAATTATACTTTTGCATCTTAGTCCTCTTGAAAGGGAGGTGAGTGGCCTGAGGCATCGGAGTGTGCATAGTGTGGGCTGGGGAAGGGGTGGCAGTGTATTTGGCAACTTAACGCAGGAAGCATTTTTGTAGACCATATTTACGAACTTTAAGCCTGAACTGTGTGCAGAGACTTTCAAAGAACCCTAATGGTGTTAAACCCCAAATTTCCTTAAACTTCTTAACTACTGATCAGTTCGGTAAGTATTAGTTTCAACTTTGCAGACATTAAGGATTTGTTTTTTGGAAGTTTTATGTCTGAGGGACCTCAGCAGTTCCTGAAGCATTCCCAAGTGAAGCTGATGGTTGTGAAGCCACCCTGTTACTGTGGAGCATTTAATTCTCCAAGAGGTGTTATCTGTGGGCAGTGCATTTGAAATAAAATTTGGGAATTGCACTAAAATAAGTCCTTTAGCCAGTCTTCTGGAGTCTCTTTGCTCCTTACATTCTTCAGGTGGAAGGGGTGGTAATGAGGTGCGAGAAGGCCAGTAGTTCTTCCTGGGTTGTATCCTTGGAGATGTCCAAACCATTCAATTTAGTTTTCTGTGCAGTTGAATATTAATGTGAAAAATGCAAATGAGTAACTTCCTCTCAATCTGCTTTTGCTTGCCAGGTCCTGGAGAAATATCCTAATACACCTATGAGCCATAAAGAGATCCTTCAAGTGATCCAGAAAGAAGGACTTAAAGAAATCAGGTGAGTTAAGTACCCATACCAGTAAAACATTCATACTTTGGTTCCAACTTAGTTTAGTTTACTGTTAACCCCTATCTCCTAAGTATTTTGGGGACCGAAATGTTAAATACCTGCAGAATTGGAGTCTAGGTCCCATTTGCGAACAAGCTCTCAAGTCACTGGTACCTTTCACCAAGAAAGCTAGGTAAGGGTCATGCTTAATTTCCAGGTATGCATGACTCTGGTCTGCGGCTCTTATGTAAGGTAAACTAGACCTGATCAGGTAGTTCAGGCTCCAGGTACTGAAGTAAGCTTAACTATTTTTTTATTTCATCTTTAAAAAAAGAAAACAATAGTCAGTTTAATTGAAATGACCTAAAACAAAAGTTAAAGCTTTCCAGGAAGTAAAAAAGCAGCCTCACTTACAAATCCCTATTTAAAAAACTTTAAGCCTCATGCTATTTTCTTTAGTATTATCTGGAGTAGCGTCTGGTTCTGCTTTAGAGATCTTCCTGTTCCCCCCGAGGAGCAGACGGGGTGCTTGGTGTGCTGGGCAAAGGAGGGCACCAACTCGGGTGATACTGATCTGCTTTAGAAAAACAGAGCAACTCGGATGACAGCTCTCGAACTGCTGTTACCATAGCTTAATTCTTGAGTCCTTGCGCATATATATTTCCCGGAGATGGACAGGTGTATCTGGTGAGATAGGGAACAGTTGTCCATGTGAAGTACAAAGTATTTATACTTCTGTTTTCTAAGAGCAAAGAAAAAGGGAGGGAAAAAGAGGATTGGATGTGCCAGTTCATCTATTTTGGAATATAACCAGTTATCCTGAATTTGACTTAATTATGTTTTTCACTCCACTTCACCAGTTTAATACAGCAATCCATCTGCTTTGGCAGAAATATTCAAGGGCCCAAGTGTAGAAATTCTGCTATTGATAACAAGATCTTGCACTCAAGTTGTGGACAACATAAAGCTGGTTTGCTTTTTGGAAAAGTCAGTTTATCTAAAAGTAAGGAAACCAAATATTTAGCTCTTAGGGAGGTGACAAAAGTGGGGCTTAGTTCCTGCAGGATGCATTTCGTTTTGGGGCAGTACTACATTCAGACAGATCAAAGGTTTACCAGCCTTAGGGCAGCTTCAGTATTGTGTTAAATACTCTTAATCCATCAAAGGCATGTCTGCAAACAGTAACCGCGCTTGTCAGCCCCTTGTGCACTCCCAAGGATAGAAATGCAGTTGTCTGTACTGGTGGCCTCGCTGATGGCAAAGCACAAGTCCAGCAAACATCCAGGTGCTTAGATGTGGTGTGGTGAACCTTTTTAGCAATTCAGAGTGCTCTTTTTGGGGCAGAGCCTTAGGCAGGAGCTCAGATGTGGGGTGAAAGATCCAGTCTCTGGCTGGCCGGGCCAGATTTTGGACTGAACAGTCAAAAAAAGCCAGAACAGAAATGCCACGGTGCCATATAGTCCTTTTCAACCTCAAGTCCTTCTTTCAGAGCTGATTTGGGGATTTAGCCTGAGCTGATAATAAGTTGTTTTCCTCTCTAAAAAAGCTGCAGCTGAGCATCAGGGCAGCACAAACTCCTCAGTATCTTCAATCGCAAGAGATGTTTGTGGGAGCAGTCAGATGTGAAACTCAGTTTCTCTAGTTCAGCTATCCACCTTACTGACTCGGACACGCTTGGATGCTGTGTAGTGGTCTTTCCCCTTAAATGTTAGATTGATGTAATAAAGCTTTATTTAGCTTGAGATCTAAAAGGTTGTCAGTTCTTAAGCAACTCAATTCCAGTTAGTGCCAGTAATGTATTTGTGGCTGGACTGGGCTTCTGATAAGTCATAGCCTGTGACAAGATGGGCTTAACACAAATCAGCATTTATTAGAGGAAAAATCATGTTGGAGAAGGTATAAAAGCTGTCAGATGAGCGTGTTGAGCTCACCACATTTTGAGTCCTCTTATGTGGAGGTTCTGGCAGGAAACCATGGCAAAGCCTTTGACAGCAGATTACAGCAGTTTCCATGTACTTGGTTGCCTTGAGACAGCAGGCAGCTGCAGGACTCTGCAGTTTGGTAAAATGGTGTGTAAATTTGCAGGCAGCACATGGGCTCTCCTGCTAGCATGTGTGTCAAAGGCGTTTCAGTTTTTTGAATTTTTTCTCAATGCAATTTGCTTTTGATAAAATTGCAAATTTCTTTAGTAGCAAACTATTTCCACAAGCCACATAATCTTTAAACTCTGTCAGTTTTGACTGCATTGTTTGTTTGTATTTAATTCAGCATCTATTGCCTCAAATCCTTAGATATATCTAACTTTTTTATATCTCTGATTTCCAGAAAGAAAATAGTTTTAGGAATGTCATTTGCCACTTCTACGGATGTGCTGAAATGAGGGAGAATGGGGAGCCCAACTAGTGTCCAGCAGTCATTTTTCTGTTTGGCCACGCGGCCAGTCCATCTCCCTTTGCTCTAATGATTCCTGGCATGCGCTGCCACTTGGCCGGCTGCTTGGGAGGAAGCTTGAGGGCATGTTGAAAGAGTTTAGAGGACTCGAAGGGCTGGTACTGTTGTAGAGGATTTGGAATTGCAGGGAGGAAGGGTGGCAGTTGAGATGAGCGTGGACAAAAACAGGAACAATCATTTCTGCTATGTGCAGGACAACTTGGCTATTCTTTGGACAAGGCTCAGTCTTTCATAAGATGGAGGGGGTTTTGTAGCAATACAGACACCTGGGGTGATACTGGCTGATTATCTTACCTGTATTTACAATTTTATCCTAGTACTCAAGTAATTTTAATCATGAGATATTTTTAAAGGTCAACCCAGGACCAGTACTCTGAGATTTCAGTTTTGGAGACCTAGGGCATCCTGAAGCTAGAACTATACTTCTTGCGTGATCTGTCATCGTAACTTTCTCGGTTTGCCTGTTTTGACAGGCTGCCCTAATCCTATGAGATTCTTTCCTACCTACAGGTCACTACTTGCAAACCGCAAAAATAAAATACATGTGGATAAACACGCGATGAACTGGCAGCGTAACCGTATCTGGCTCTAAGATTTGTCCAACATCCTATATTGCCTTATCTCTGATGGCAGCCTAGCTTGGGGAAGCCTGAGCATGTTGTAACACACCTTCAAATGAGGCTTTGAAGATGCATGGGATAATGGTGTTAACCCCAGCAACACCAGCTGTGAAAGTCCCCTAAACTTGAATGCGTGGGATAGATGGGCACCAAGAGTTAGCAACAGGGAATCACATTTGTCTGATAAGTGGCTTTTTAAATCAAAATTGTGAACTTGTCATTGGATTTCATTAACCTCCTTGGGTATGTGTCGTGGTTTAACCCCAGTCGGCAACCAAGTACCACCCAGCCGCTCGCTCACCCTCCCCCCCGGCCCCTGGTGGGATGGGGGAGGGAGTCAGAAGAGCAAAAGTGAGAAAACTCACGGGTTGAGATAAGAACAGTTTAATAATTGAAATAAAATAATAACAATTGTAATGAAAAGGAAGACAACGAGAGAGAGAGAGAGAGAAACAAAACCCAGGAAAAACAAGTGATGCAACCGCTCACCACCAGCTGACCAATGCCCAGCCAGTCCCCGAACAGCGGCCAGCCCCCACCCCCTCCACCCCGACCAACTCCCTCCAGTTTATATACTGAGCATGATGCCACATGGTATGGAATACCCCTTTGGCCAGTTTGGGTCAGCTGTCCTGGCTGTGCCCCCTCCCAGCTTCTCGCTGGCAGGGCATGAGAAACTGAAAAGTCCTTGACTTAGTATAAGCACTGCTCAGCAACAACTAAAACATGGGGGTGTTATCAACATTGTTCTCCTCCTAAATCCAAAACACAGCACTGTGCCAGCTACTAGGACGAAAATCAACTCTATCCCAGCCGAAACCAGGACAGTATGTTAAAATCAGTGTAAGAGTATCTGAAGAGTTAGCATCTTTGAAAGACATCTTTGGCAGCCTTTTCTCTTAATAGCTGTGAATGTTTTGTTTTTCTTGGATTTTATAGGGGACACTGTGTAAAATACGAGCTTGTGAATGTCTGTCCAAACATGGTGACTTTTTTTGCCCAAATACTAATTAAAGCAAGGAAACACATCTAACCACTAGCTCAGTCTCAGTGAAAATGAAAACAGACATGGTGCTCTGGCTACGTTTATTTCAAGTATTCATGGAATTTCTAACATAAACCAAAACAAACTCTTAAACAACTTTGGGGGGGGGAAAGTATAGAAGCCAAAATCCCCTTTTTGCTAGTTGTATTTGGACTAGAGATATGTGTGTCATGAACAGTTTGGTTTCAAGTTTTAGCTGCCCTCCAGGCAGTGGCTGACTTACGCTTCTCACTGGCAAGTCGGTCCTTCCAAATTTCTTGCAAGATGCTCTGAGCATCCAGCTCGGAGCATCCTTGAGGAGGGAACTTCCTTCCAGACAAGGAGGTGGTTATGTGAAGAGGGCTGGAGCTGCTCAGTCCGACACTTGTATAAATGAGCTGCCAGCACTGTAACTTTAGGCTTCCATAAGGTTTCTTAACCGGTTTCCTATATTTCTCCTCTCTTGCTAGGTGAAAATCAGAAGCCTGCTGTATTTCTGTGGTTAGCTTGTCCTCTGAGTCTGGTAATGTGAGCGGTCTGTCTTCCTGAGTGATGAGAACTACGGTGATACTGATTGCCCTCATCTGGAAAGAAAACACGGGGCTTGTAGCTTCTGTGTAGTTCAGAGCAGTGTCGCATTTGTATTACTCCTCCAGTAGCTTGTGCGCTATGAAATGAGGATCTTGCCTGAGTGGGGAAAAACTCTATACTTGGTCACTCTCTTGCAAGAGGAGAGAGGATGAACTTAAAAGGCAAACAGCTCTCCTGTTGACTTGTCTCAGAAATACGAGCAAAGGTCAGGCTGGCGTCTGGACTTAGGTGATAACTGTAGGAAGAGGGAGGCTGCTTACTGCTAGAGGATATTCTTGCATCTCAGATTGAGTTAAGGACCAACAGTGCGATCTCTCCCCATT